ATTAGGAGGGAGGGGGCGATTAGGGGCTGCCCCCCGGGGGGGTTGCGCGGGCCCCCTGAGGCGGCGGGCTGATGCAAATGAGATGCAAATGAGCAACATGGCGGGCAGGAAGGCGCAGGAGAGCCAGAAGGAGATGAAGCTGCTGCTGGACATGTACAAGTCGGCGCCCAAGGAGCAGCGGGACAAGGTGCAGCTGATGGCGGCCGAGAGGAAGAGCAAGGCCGAGGTAACGACGCGCTAACGACACGCTAGCGACACGCTATGATACGCTAACGGCACGTACGGGCCCCTAAGATGTCTCCCGCCCTTCCCTTCCGTCGTTCCCCGGCGCTGTTCCATCGCGCCGTGACGTCACGGTGTTCTCTTACCTCATTCCCTCACGGCGTTAGGTCGCCCCGTGACCTCATACTGTTACCTCACGTCGTGACCTCACGCTGCTCTCTTACGTCATTGCCTCACAGCGTTAGGTCGCGTCATGGCCTCATACTGTTACCTCACGCCGTGACTTCACGCTGCTCTCTTACCTCATTCCCTCACGGCGTTGGGTCGCGCTGTGACCTCATAGCGTTACCTCCCACCATTACCTCACACCGTTCACTCACATGGTTATCGCGCTTCATTACCTCATGCCGTTCTCTCACCCCATTACCTCCTGCAATGACCTCGCACCATGACTTCATGTGATTACCTCATGCCGTTCTGTCCCCTCACCCCATTATGTCACCCCATTACCTCACACCATCATGTCGTGTCATTATCTCACCCAGTTACCTCATGTCATTACCTCACGTGGTTACCTCATGCGATTACCTCATCTCACCTCATTACCTCATGTCATTACCTCACCCTGTTACCTCATGTGATTACCTCACCCCATTACTTCATGTCATTACCTCATGTGGTTACCTCGTGTGATTACCTCACCCCGTTACCTCACCTCGTTACCTCACACGATTACCTCATGTGATTACCTCATCTCATTACCTCACGTCATTATCTCACCCCGTGACCTCATGCGATTACCTCACCTCATTACCTCACGTGATTACCTCACGTCATTACCTTACCTCGTTACCTTAGCCTGTGACCTCACATCATTACTCATCCCATGACCTCACCCAGTTCCCTCCCTCCAGCCGGCTGCCGCATGGGGGGGGGGGGCGAGGTGACATCATGGCGGGGCGTGACGTCACTCCCTGGGCAGGCGGAGGAGCTGCGCGGGCGGGCGCGGGAGCTGGAGGAGCGGGAGCGGCGGGAGAGCAAGAAGCTGGCGGACGAGGAGGCGCTGCGGCGGCTGCGGCACGCCGAGGAGCAGATCGAGCACCTCCAGCGCAAGCTGGCCGCCACCAAGCAGGTGGGCGTGGCCTCCTGGGGCGTGGCTCCCTGTGGGCGTGGCCTCCAGGGAGGGGCGGTGCCTGGAGGGGGAAGAAAGGGGGGGGTGGCTTTAAGGGAGGGGGTGTGGCCGGTGGGGTTGGGGTGTGGCTGGGTGGGAGGGGTGTGGTTATGGGGCATCATAGTCGTAGCCTGTGATGTCATAAGCGTGTTTTCTGTGCCTTATGATGTCATAGGCGTGGTTTGTGATGTCGTAAGCGTGTTTTCTGAGCCTTATGATGTCATAGATGGAGCTTGTGATGTCATAAGTGTGTTTTCGTTAGGTTGTGATGTCATAGATGGAGC